GCACCAGCATCCAAGCTCAGTGTGTGGCACATGGGCATGGTGGCCAGGCCTCGTTCCCCCAAACTCCAGTTCARTTTGGATGGCATTGCCAATCAGTTTTCCTTTTCCATTCATGTCTGGTTCTCTTCCCTGAATTATAGCTGTGATAGTTAGCATGTTATTTTTTGTCAGTTTGGTCTATTTGTTTACATATACTAATGCTACAAATCCATCAGAAATACTGACTTTTGCAAAGGTTTCTTTGTCATCCAAAAGCTACTTGTTTTCCTTCCCTTTCTGAAACTGCCATCCCAGCTGCAAGTGGCTCTTACAGCTAAAGTTTTCCTTGCTTTCCTTGCTTTCCTTTTCCTTGCTTTGAAGCCCGGCAAAGACTGGTTCAGAGTCTTGACTGATGACTGGCTTATTTTACTTTATCTTAGACTAGATTCCTAACCAAGTTAATCTGTAAGTGTGGTTTAAATTCTGATCAAGCACAAGGGTTGGAATAACCTGCCTTCAGAGCCTGTCTTTGGAGGARATGGTGCCACCTGCTCCTGTGAACAAGAGAGGAAAGCAGTTGCCCTTGAGGAAAGCTGTATTTGCTGGGGCAGACACTGTTCTCTGCATCGAAATGGAGGCTGGTGGCATGAGATCTTCGGACTGTGTAGCCAGGAAAGGTCTCTGCATCTTCCCTAAACATTTTGCCTCTGTTTCTACCCCCTTCTAGCTGCTGCATGCTGCCTCCTGGCATGGTGAATCCCCGAATTCAGGAAATAGCGGGGCAAAAGTGGGGTGTTTTTACAAAGATTTAATTTTTGTAGTCTAGGGGATAAGCAGGGGGTCTTTGAGTTTCTCTGGGAGTTGAAAGAAAGGACAGAGCAAACTGGCACTGCTCCCAGTCCCAAAATGTTTTTACTAATTGCGCGCAACCTTCCTTACGAGAGACAGAGACTGCAAATACCACAGGCAGTTTAATTACCACTACTGGTTTCACATTGATCTTATTTATGCTGCTCCCAGGGCTGTGTGTGTGTGTGTGTGCAGGGAATGTGCGCGGGGTGGGAACAGGTTGTGTAAGGAATTGGCTCTCAAGGGGGAGGGAGTGCGAGGTGTAAGGGAGTTGTTTGAGGCTGGAGGCTCTTTCCCAAAAGCTACTTACTCTTGTCCAGGGTGTTTGGGTAACTGGGCTCTGGATACCCCTGGTGCCCTGGTGCAGGGCACAAGCAGGAGCGGGAAAGGGGCGAAGTGCAGGTGAGGCTGGTGCAGGGCTGCCTGCCAGGGTGAGTTTAACTGGCCCCAGTTCAATTCATGGGCTGGTTTCCTGCAGCCTGCTTGGTCAGCCACYGCTCTGTACGCGGCCGAGCTCTGCAGCCCAGCAGTGATTGCTTCCTCTTTGCTAACCTTCCCCTCCTTGCAAGCAATGAGTTTCTTCCCCATCCCAAAGGGGGGGAGAAAGTAGCAGGGGAGGAATCCGACGCGAGCAGGCTGATGGCTGCCGTCCCAGTGCAGCCTCAGCAAATGGGGCTCGTGATGGATGAATGTGCAGGGCAAGAAGTAATAAAAAGGGCCCCAGTCATGTAATCTTCCATTAAAATGAAATGCATACCAGAAATGARGCATTTCTGCAGCTTGTACCATCTCCCACGGAAGATCATGAATAAAAGAGGCAAGTGTACTGTTGACAGATGCCGGCATGCATAAAGGACAGTTCCTATAAAGGCAAAGCCCCGGCTAACAGATGGACTAAAGATGTGAGATGCAGGAAGATTTACCAGTCTAAATAATTCAAGGGAATGTCGTATGGGGAGGCAGTGCTCTGAGAAGGGAGCCAGCAGAAGGTACAGATGGAAAGGCAGGCCAGGCCTTTCCCACAAACCCATTAAGAACGTCGCTTGTCTGACTGACAGTATGTTGCACGAGGCACCAGCAGAGATGGGTGGATTTGCCTCCAGCACTCCTTCTGCAAGGTCAGGAGAAGAGTTAATTTCAAAGGTTGCAACTTTTCGAGGGCATGCTTTGTCTGCTGCGAGGCTGGTTTCCCAGACCTTCCTCCTCTCCCCTGCTCTTCYTCACCAGCCCTCCTCCTGCCTTGGAGGAAAACGAGAGCATGGAATTGATGCTGCAGCAGTGAGCGGAGGGTGGAGATAGTAAAGGCTCAGGGCTCCTTTTGCCTTCCCTGGCCTGCTCAGGTCAGCTCTGGGTCCCTGGTGGTTCTTTGGCCCCTTGGGGAGGTTGGACATGCCTCCTGGCTAGTTTTGGTGCGGGGCTGTGGTCTCATGCAGCAGGCYCTTTTAATCCCACCTGGCTGCAGGAGGGTCTGCAGTGGCACTGAGCAGAGGTGGGCAAGGGAACGTCCAGTGTGACTTGGACAGGTGGCAGTGCTTGTGTGGGCAAAGAGATGCCTCTGTGCCCAGGTGCTGTGTGGAGAAGGGAGGAGTGTGAAGGACTGCACGAAGAGGAGCAGTCTGGCACGCAGAGGGGAACTGCTTCAGCTGCTGGCGCAGGCTGGGTTGGTGTTCAGGAGTGAAACAGCACCCAAAGAGTGCCCTGAGAGCACCCTGGTAGCTCCACGTATGAGATATGACACCTCAATACAACCCTGATAAACCTGGGCTCCTTTTAGAGCTCTATGAGTATCGTGCGGATGGAAGGCTCCTATGCACCAATTGCAGCCGTGCCTGAATACAGTCCCTCTTGGACCAGGTGGCCTTGTGTGGTGAGGTGGATGTAGCCCTGATGCCAGAGCAAACACTGACACGTGGGATGTTCTAGCTCTGCTGTAAGGAGGTTTCACACCCCCACATTGCAGGGTTCAGTGTCCCTCGGAGCAAGCAAGGCCTGACAAGTGCTTCACACCCACTGCTTAGGGACATGACCCCAGTTTGATTTTTGGAGAGCTAGTTCTTCCGTTTCAGAGATTTTCTGCCTGTCTGGGAGCCCTGCAAATCAGGTCTTTGAAATTCTTGTAAGGTGCTTGGAGAGGAAGGCTGGGGCCTAAACGGGCACTGGTCCTCTGGGAGTTCTGGTCTGTCTGGCCCTATGAGCATCTCTGATCTCTCAGGATAACCTCAGATGTTGGTCCTTGGAGGACTCAATCCTGTCCTAAGCTTACCCATGTTCAGACCTTGCCAAGTCTCCTGTGTCAAGGATGAAGTCTAAGTTTGCAGTTCCTTCTTTTTCTCCTCTTCCTTCCCCTCAGCATCCTGAGGTCTGTCTCATGTACACAGAGCAGTGGCACCTCCTGTCCTCTGTCCAGGGTTGGATATTGCTGATGACCCATGCTTGAGTTCCTCCTGTGGGATCCTACATGCTGGTGGCAGCAGAAAGTTGAGGGCTTTATGTCAAGCCCTCTGAACATGACTGCCTTGGTCCTCGCCTTCTTTGAGCTCAGTCTGTGGGCTCAGACACTTGTGGGGCCTAGGCTGGGTTTGTGGTAGCTTGATTAGCAGAGGTGGCTGCCATGAGCCACCTTGACAGAGATCCTATAGCACCTTGATGACAGAGGCTTGGGAACTGGAAAAACTGTGCAAAACCCCCAAGTTACCAAATTTGAGACTGAGAAGAACTGCCTGAGCTGTTGAAGCRTGTTGGGGTGGTCTTGGCATGCAAGGCATGGGAGCTGAGCTGATCTCGGAAACTGGGGCAGGTTTTTGTGGCTCCAGGGGTGGGATCTCAGCTTGAGCTCTCCTGGGACAGAGCATTGCAGTGGTCGAGTGCAGCGCTGGTCATCCCCTCTGGAGATGCCTGGTTCCCACTCGCTCCCAGGGCTGGCTCAGCGAATACGGAGCATTTGGGCAGAAGGAAGATAAAGGGCAAGATGCAGAGGGTTAGATAGAAGTCAGCGGCAGCTGCTTGGCAGAGATTGTGCGTGCGCTCCGCTTGGAGAGGACGCCTTCCCCGGGCTCGTCAGCCGTCTGCAGCATGGCGATTAATCATTGGTGTCAGAATCCCTAATCCTATTCAATGGAAAACAAACAGCGCGGCATCCAGCCCTGTGCTGAGCCCAAGCAATTAGCATGTTTACATGGGCTGGGAAGGCTCAACAAAGAGTGGCCAACGGGGGCCACGGGAAATGAACCCTTGTCAGCCCTTGATGTTCCAAGTGCTCCAGGATCCCTGGGCTCTGACCCAGGCCCAGGCTTGGAAATGCAGCTTGCGCAGATTGAATGCAGCTACCAAAAGCAGTTTTTCTTGGTTAGGGCTCAGAGCTGTGAGTGTGGGCAGCTCTTAAAGTGGGGGACTGTATCTGATCCCCTGTGGGGAACTGGAGGTGTGGGGAGGGTAAGGGATCTGCTCTTGCTTCAGCGTAGAGTGAGTGGCAGATATAGCTAATCCTCGCTGCCAGTCCCTGCTGCCCTGTGCTCCTGTCCCTCTCCCACTCGTACTGCTGGAGCTATGTCTCCCTGCTTGAAATTAGCTGCATGTTTTGTGTTTCTCCCCCAAAGCTGTGCTTTGGGGATCTGCTAAGCAAAGCTAGACTCACCTCCCTCTGAAGGCAGGTCTCTGAGCCACGTTGAGTCTCAGCCCCCTTGACCAGGCATTAATGATATTTTTAGATATGATATTAGAGAGCTGGGTCATAGGGAAAGATGCAGAACTAAACAGATGCATGTTATGGGCTGGGACAGCTGAGTGGTTTGCACTATCTCAAACATTTCCCAAAAAAGAGACTAATGCAATGCTGCTTCAAAAGCTACATTGATGATCCCCTAAGAAAAAGGGGCTCAAAATTTGTCTGTGCCCTTTGCCTCTGATATACACAGGTGAACCTKCTTTAAGCTCGTCAGCTCAGCACATTGGCAGGACTTGCCCAGGTGAGATGAGTTGTCTCTGTGAGGGTGGCCTTGTGCTGCAGCAGGGCAAAAGGGACTGCAGGCAGTGAACAGCTTTACGGGGACTCCTGAGCTATGGCCCATGTGGGGTGGCCCTGCCTGGGCGCCTTCTGCCTGGTCATCCTTTTTCCTAGAGGTTCAAGTTGATTGTGGCCACCACCATGTAACCYTATTTTCTGCCTGACACAGGATACGGGGCTTCTCTGAAAAATCTACATCTGCAGTATCCCCCATTGCAAGATCTCCACAAAGGGCAGGATGAGCAGYACCCAGGACGACGTCTAAGACGAGTGAGCAATCCTCTACATACGCATCCCTGCACTGCATGGRCATGCCAAGAGCTGCTGTTCCTGCCCTGCAGCACCACCAAGGGTAAGGGGCTGGCTGGGGGGTGCGAGGGGTGTTTTGGTCATACTCTGCATTTGGCCTGCACTGCAGTAAACCAGAGTGCAGAGACACATGCGAGAGAAGTTTACTTAACTGAGCTCTGCAAGCGATTCCTCAGAGTGACAGATAAAAGCAGCAAACGAGGAGTGAGACATAAGCTACGTTTTTGTAGGACCTACCAGAGGCTGGGTGACAGTTTAGGGATGTTGGCAGAGGGAGGAGCGGAGTTGATTTGGTTTGACTCTTAAGCCTCAAGTGGACCATGCTGCTTCTCGGTTTGGAAGGGTGGTAGTGAAACAGTCCTYGCAGGTACTTGATTCCTCTCAAAATGAAGGGGCAGTCCTGGGCACACAGTTCCCCTKCTTCCCTTCCACAGATGTAACTGATTTTGGGGGGTGGGAGGGGGAAAAAAAAAAGAATTGATTCAAATAAAAATGTGTTTGTATGAGGAAAAAAATTATTTCCTTCCATGAGAAAGCACATAGTTTGAGGCAAATTTATGGCTTTGGCCTGGTCATTAATATCTGGTTGTCAAAAAGTATTGGTTTGAACAAAAATATGTTGTAATAAAAATGCATTGTTTTGAAGAAATTTATTGTCCCCATGAAAACCTATTCAATTCAGAAAGATATGTTGATTTCAATGAAAATCTATTTGTTTTAAGAGACAGAGCAAAAGAAGTCTACACTCAGCTGAGTGTCAGAGCTTCTCTCTGTACAAATCCCTCAGCAGTCCTGCGGTAATTAGGACAGGGAAACCTGGAAAATCAACAACCAACTGGCAAAGGAAGTCCCATAGGTGCTACCTAGGGAAGAAAGGAAGCGTGTGACCTGCAGAGAGTGTGGAGGAGCGCTCTGGATAAAAGGAGGGAGGAAGCATTAGCAGAGAGCTGGAGGAGCAGGAGCAGCTCCAGACACATTGGTACGTGGTTGTCATGCCTGGTGCCCACCAAGCTTCTGGCACGTGGATGAGCTGGGTCCCGCTTTATCCCTGTCCCGGGATGTTCCTGGGTGACCTGTGCTCAACACTGCCATTGTCCTCTTTAAAATGGGACTCTCTCTGGGAATGGGTTTAGGGCTGTGTCCACGCACAGGGTGAAGGCTCCTTGCAGGCTTCTTGCATGGAAAATGCTAGGGGCTCCTCTGAGGCTAAAACAAAGCAGATGCTTTAGCTTTCATTTTGATGGGAAACGGGAAGAACTCCCGAGAAAGGAATATTTTCCCCCAAAAGAAGTTTCTTGCCTTCAAAATACCCTTTCCCACTGGGAAGCTTTTCCCCATTTCCCCAGCAGATTTTGGCTGTCTGAAAACAGGGACAGAGGGCAGGGTCAGCACAGCCTGTGCATCTGGCAGTGAGCCCCAGGCAAACCAGCCACCATCATGCAGAGCCCTTGCCCGGCTCCCCACTGCTCAGCCATCAGTGCAGGACAGACAGTTTTGTGATGTTTGGTCTTTGAACGCCCAGGAGGGGCTTGGTAAAGGCTTGGGGACCACAGTGTTGGCCCTGCTTGGGGACCACAGTGTTGGCCCTGCTTGGGGACCACAGTGTTGGCCCTGCTTGGGGACCACAGTGTTGGCCCTGCTTGGGGACCACAGTGTTGGCCCTGCTTGGGGACCACAGTGTTGGCCCTGCTTGGGGACCACAGTGTTGGCCCTGCTTGGGGCAGAGCACATGCTGATTGCTCTTACCTGCACCAAATGTTCACCTTTCCCAGCAGAAGACCCTGTTCTCTGATCTTTACCCGTGAGGAAAGTGCTCCTAGAGATAAGGAGGCCTTTCCTTACAAAGCAGATGGATTCATAGATTTACCCTATGCACACCCCCAGAGATGGATGCATATGTGAACCCAGCTCCAACTCCTTTGTAGAGGTGGAAGATGCAAATCTTGCAGTGCATCTGAAGATTTGCTTTGTGGTAGGTTCAGCCCGTACTCTTTTCATCTCTCAGCCCAAGCCAAATGATATGAGCGGTGAGCAGAGTAACTAAAGCTTTCCCAGACCTCAGTATGAGACGAATGTGTTCATGCTGCTACTCGAGTTATTCCTGCTTTGTTGTTGCTCTATGACAGGTTGAGAAAGGGGCGCCTTGCATGAGRCAAGTGCGGTTACAGAGGATGAGTCTCTGTGCTAGAAGGTTTATCATTCAAGTAGGACAGGAAAAAGGGGAGGGGAAGGCAAGGCAGATGCACAGAGGACTGAGCTGAAGCAATCAGCAAGGCATTTACTGGGCAAGGACTACAAATGGGCATTTGGATTGCCACGAAAGCAACCCATCATCAGCATTTCTCTTCTCTCAGGCTGGCAATCCTTTCTCTGAAGGGCTCTCCTTGCATTTATTATAAGGATAAAAACCCAGACAAGCTCACTCCCATGGAGGGAAATAGAGCAGTAGCGTGTGGGCCTGGGCAGAAAGAGTCTGCACGAGTGCACTGGGCATCGCAGGGTACTTTGCACTGATGTTTTTAGCTTTGTGCTGTGTCTGTGGAGACCTGCGTGGCACCTCCTCGAAGGTCAGGAGGGCAGATGAGATGGGTCTGGACCAAGACGAAAGGCTGGTGAGAGGTTGGAGTCGGGGTGGCCCCTCAGCCCCAGCGCGTTGGGGCTACCTGCCCTCCTCTGGCTACGGGATCCTGGCCTGGCCCTCACCAGCCTTTCAGCTCAGGAGACTTTTCAGGATGGCCTTTCATTTCTTTCAGTCCTGCTCCGGTTTTACTCCAGGATGGTGAGATGAGAGGGAGGATATGAGCTTTGCTATTCTGCCTAAGCCTCTTTCCCTGCCAGCAGGGACCAGATGAAATTCGCTCTGAGCTCGAAAGCAGTAATGTGGCCTTAGCTGGGATTATGAGCCGAGCCATGGCCGTATCACCTGAAATCCACCTTCCCGGTCCTCCCCTCTAAAACAATCAGCACATGTTTGCAGTGGGCTTTTTCTTTCATTATGCTCCATCCCTGCTATTTAATCAGCTTCTTCTTTTCTCTGTTTGTACAAGGCATCACTAACCCATATTAGAGGGGGAAGGGAAGGTACGAGATAAAAAGGGAGGAAAAAAAAAAAAAACAGTACTCAAGAAATGTCATTGCTGTAGTATTATCCCCTCCTTGCCAGCACACGCACAGGTTCTGGTGTCAATGGAAAGGTTGCCTCTGATTAATATTAATAAAGAATTAGAGCTGTGTTTGTCATGATCAGCTCATTTGGTATTGCTCTGTGTGGCAGGTGAAAGCTGAAGAGGGGAGGAAAGAAGTCTCCATGACGTTCATTAATCATTTCATCAGCAAGGAGTTCAAAGCAGAGCCCTGCCTTAGCAAGGGCCGCAGACAGGGATGGTGCCATGTTTATTCAGATGTTCCTGCTTATGTCTCTGACCTGCTGCCCAGTCTGCTGGGATGGGCCTCCAGCATTAAGATGCTCTTCCAGGATCTTGGATGCCCAAATGATCCCCACATATGGGCTTGGTCTTGAACAGGCCAAAATGGTGACATGTGAAAGTCTGACATAGATCCACCTTCAGTGCTTACATGTCAGTTAAATATGGTGCTGGATCCTAGAAGAGTTCAAGAAGTTTCAGAGATGAGACCATCCTTTGGAAACCTAGATTTAGTTCCCCCTTTTTTCTTTTTTTCCCCTCTCAAAATAACTCTTTTTCCTTAGACTGAGATGAGGAACTCCTGAGGGCAGGGAGTTCTCTTTACTCTATAGGTGAGCAGCAGCCAGGAGCCACTACACAGACGCTGTGRTCAGTGTGAACTGTCGGAATAAGCCCCGTGCAGGTATGTTCCGTCTCCAAGATAAGCACTGTAGGGACAGGAATGAACTTAAATKAGGTGTTCAGTCCAAGAGGGGCTCCTTGACAGGTCTTCCTGTGGGAGACTTCCAAAAGACAATTCTTCCCATCAAATATGCTCTCTGTTGTCTAGAACAACCCTATAGGTGACCATATTTAAACAGTTATAAGATGGCTCAAGTTTGGCACATTGTGTGGTCAGAAGCACAGGGGTGCGTGTTGCAAGAGTTCATGCTATCTGCTTATATTTCTATATTTCTATATATATATTTCTATATAAAAAGCAAATGACTATGAGGACAGCCCATTGCTTTGGTGTCACAGTACACAATTAACCTCAGCTGACAGTAGTGTAAAGCATTCGTCTTTAGATCTAGACTTTTAGTTGTGTATGTGTGTGTATAAATATATATGTATATAGAATGCCCATAAATCTGAGATCTGAGTCAGTTGAACACATCTATATGTGGCCAAAACTGCCAGTGCTTTTTCTTCTCCTTGGGTTTTCTGCGCACAAAATTGGAGAGAGAGAGAGAGAGAGAGAGGGTAATGCACACATACATATGGCAAAAGCTCTTTGCATTAAGAATTTACAGCTGAAACTTTTTTTTTTGGATGCTATTTATTATTCAAATGCAGGGAGAGTTGAGCCAAGTGGTGCATTGCTCTCATTAATTATTCTCTGGGATTAAGGAATCAGTTAAAACCATATCTCCCTTAATCCTGTTTTATTAATTTTATATTCTTGGCAAAAAAAGAGGAAAAACAACAACCCCCCACCCTCTTTATAAAGGGATCATGTAGCTTTCTGTTGGGATCCTGAGAACAGGAGGTCTCTGGTGTTCACTGGATGCTCTCCCTTTTAATTTGATAAAATAAATTAGCACAGGATTAGAGCCTTTCTGCATGGGCCTGCAGCATAGCTCTGCTGTGGTTAGCACCTTAAGGGAGGCATTAAGCATCATTTTGGTTGCGTGGAGGTGAAATATGAGAGTGTCTGTCCCTTTGTTCCTTTTAAAGAAGGAGCTTCCATCTGTGTAACAGCATAATTCTTGGTCTGTTCCCCATAGGGCCACCATTAATTTTTGTCAGCAACAAGTTTGTGTTGGATGAGGTGAATGCTGCCTGTTGGGATGCATGCATGAGCCCATCAGCTGGTTGCATATAGCAGCCAGTGGTGATAAC